TAAAAGATGGCATACCACAATAGTATATTGTTGGCATACAAGCTTCTTTTAGAAATATCGAGTCGCCCTGGAAGTTCTTGCATACCATAGCGTTTGTAATAAAGACGAGGTGGCAAAACTGCAGAAAATGGAAATTAAAGAGAGGGTTGAGGAGCTGGAAACGTGGGTTTTTGCGAGGTATCTCAGATTACCGAAGGATCTAACAGAAACATTTAGATTTGAGTTCAACTACCTCCGCATGTCAGAATTGGAGAAGCCATTGTATGCAATCTCCATGTTTAGAACATTGTTCCAAGATCAATTGTAAGATTTGCAATTTTTCTGTGCTTTGGACTTTGAATGGAGCAACTTTTTAGTCGCTATGATCGTGACGATTTGATCCGATTTGTGCTCACAGTGCGAAAGAACTACAGAAGGGTTGCATACCACAATTGGGCACATGGATGGTCTGTAGCTCATGCCATGTTCGTTCTACTTATGCACACATCTCGTGACATTTTCAACACTCATGAGGTAGCATATTCGTATCACTTATTATTGTGAGTTAATGTCATTTATTCTTTAGGCATTAGCCTTATACGTTTCCTGCTTATGTCACGACCTTGATCATCGTGGCAAGAATAATGCATATATGAAAACGATGATGACACCTCTTGCGAGCATTTACACAACTTCAGTGATGGAACACCATCATTTCAATCAGACTGTTACTATACTTCAGCAGGTAATCTTAGGAAAAAAACCTTTTAGCGTTCTATGGTCGATGAAACAGTTTTAGTCAACATTCTAAGGAATATATCCCTAGAATTAAAGAAATTTTTAGGATGGGCACAATATCCTGAAAAGCATGACCTCATCAGAATACAAGCAAGCTCTTTCACTTATCAAGCATTGTATCTTGGCGACAGATCTCGCTTTGTTCTTCACTAACAAGGCGGAACTTAACAAAATTATTGATTCTGGGAACTACGACATTCATCATGAACATCATCGGTACGAGCCATTTTTCTTTAATAATTTAAAATCTTGTGCCAAGCTAAGTTTATCTAAGGAGGTTGACGCAAGCAATCTTGATGACCGGTTGCGATTTGATAGCCTCTGCGAAACCTTGGTATATACAGACAGAAACGGTGAAGGTCATATTCGAGGAGTTTTACGAGCAGGTAAAGCAGA